ATGTTGTGTTACAGAAAACAGCAGATAAGCCTTGATGCTATCAGCAGTTTTGGCTAAGGACCATTTTAATTCAGTTTCATGCAACAAAATGCTGAACTAGCTCCCAAACTATAATTATCACGTAATGCACAATCCAAACCATGAGTTCCTCATCTGAGTCCCCAAAAGCTTGGCTAAGTTCCATAGAAATATCTACATCTTGCTGCCAAACTGGATTTTAATTGTAAAACAGTCTAAACACAAGACACCAAAAGACATAATATGAACTATTCTTTGGTTCACATTGAAAAGTAATTAGAATCAAATTTATGTTTCCTTCTGGCATCTATTATTATACCTTTTAGGAAGGTACCACACCCAGATTTCAGGAAGTATCTAGCCTGGAAAAAATGTGCATTTGTTTTTTATTTATTTATTAAACTTTTTAACAGCCCATTTCCCTCACAAAGAAGATTGGGTCCTCTGCAAAAGAAGATGCAAGCGGGAGAATTAATTCTGAATAAAAACCTAATTTTTAAAAAACAACCTGTACATCAATGTCTAGCATACATGATGCTCCGGAGGTTATTATTATGGGACCATATTTATAGATACCTTTTGGCAGAATGTGGAAACAAACAGAGGTCGTCCCTGACTTACAATTCATTTAGTGACCATTCAAAATTATGACACTGAAAAAGTGACGACCATTTTTCACTCTTATGCAGCATCCTCACAGTCACGTGATTTTATATTTGGATGCTTGACAACTGACTCACATTTATGACGGTTGAAGTGTCCCAGGGGTCATGCGATCCCCTTTTGCTACCTTCTGACAAGCAAAGTCAATGGAGAAACCAGGTTCCCATAGCAACCGTGTGACTAATTTAACAACTGCAGTGATTCAGTCAACAAAGGTGGCAAGAAAAGTCGTAAAATGGGGCAAAATTTTTCAATTAACAAATTTCTCACTTAGCAACCTAAATCTTGAGCTCAACTGCGGTTGTAAGTTACAGGTTGTAACCTGTAATATACACCAATAAATGAAGTACTAATTTCTGAAAAATAACCTACTCTGGTTTGCTAAAATGTATACAGCTCCTTCCCAATTGGTGTCTGAACACTGAATGGCTGGAAATATTTAGTTCCTCAGTAATATCAATAAACTATAATAATTGTGAGTCATCAAGGTGGTGTTGACTGTTTGCAGCCCTACAGGTAGATTTATCCAGAAGATCTGTCCCCAGCTTGGTCCTTCAGGTCTTCCAATGGTGCACCCATCACCATAATAATTTGAGTCCATCCATCCGTGTTGCTGGTCTTCTTTTTCCAAGCATTATAGACTTCTCAAGAGGCTGAAATCTTTGCATAATGCATTCAAAATGAAGGCAGCCTAAAATTTAAAAAAAGCAGCAGAAAATGCTCGATTATTTAGCCCCATCCTCCAATTTACAATCAATGTGTGTTAAAATAATTGCACCTGTTAAATAATCTTTAACAGACACCAACTTAACACACTCTCCTTTACTAAGCCACAGTGGTGCAGTGGTGAGAGTGCAGTACTGCAGCCTCCTTCTGCTGACTGCCAGCTGACTGCAATTTGGCAGATCAAATCCCACCAGGCTCAAGGTTGACTCAGCCTCCCATTCCTCCGAGGTGGGTAAAATGAGGAGCCGGATTGTTGGGGGCAAGAGGCGGACTCTGTAAACTGCCTAGAGAGGGCTATAAAGCGGTATGTAAGTCCTATTGCTATTGCTATGCATGTCAATATCCAAGCTGGCCTCAAACCAACCTGTCCAGCTAGCTGTCCTTTTAACGGAGTTTGGAAATCAGAAGTTGTGCAGCTGCTGTGGAAAGGGACAGACCTGTTTGGCTGCCTATTCCAGGAAAGGATGCCATTGAATTTAATCGTTAGCCGCCCCCATAATGGAAATAAAACTTTCCAAATGTTAATTACAATTCCTAGTAGCTCCAGTTAGCCCGAGATGATGACTGTGTGGAATTCTAAGCCAAGACAACTAGGATGGGAGATTCTGTCAAATAACGGACATAATAAATGTTCAGGATAAACTGTAGAATATAAGAAGTTCAAACAATGGCTGCGCTTAAGTGAGGTATCCTTGATACAGAATTGCAACAGAATATACAACAGGACCGCAGCAATGCGCACTTCAAAGCAATCTTGTGTCTAGATCAACTCACAATATACAAGACATTTACATTATTACAACTATTAAGGTATCTTCAACCTCATTTCCAGGTTGGACTGAAGAATGTTATGTTCGATTTTTACTGGCAGAATAGGATACCAAGGTAACTCTTAATTGTTGCAGTTTGTTTTTAAAGCTTGTCTTGCATGCCTCATTTTATTTTGTAGCTGTAATCTATAGATTTTTAATAAATCTTATTTAATCTGATTTGTTCATATGCAATAAAGCATCTAAACAGACAAGAATAATAGAAGTCACACAATAGCCAGAACATAACAAAAGCTATCCCATGGTGGCATTTTCTCAGTAAACTCAACCAAACTTTCCAGAAGTGATCCTGACGACAATCACTCAAAGTAAGTCTGACCTGAAGGATATTCCATAATAGGAGATCCATGATGGACAAATATTTCTTCCTGGCCTCAATCCCCAAGTTCAGGAAAATGAGGGGGAACCAACCATTTGCCCCAGAATGTTCATCTCAGCTGGACTGATTCCAACTGGAGAAAGTGTCACTACAGATGTCTCAAGCAATATGGTGCTTTCCAGGGCACCTGCGATCCTACGGCACCCATTACAGAGTCCGCAACACAGATGGAATAGGCTGTCCCCAGAGCATTTAACAACCACATAGAATCTACAAAGGATGCCCCATGTAGATGTCAAGGCAGCCTTCCCACCAGGTGGTGATGAGAGTGTGAGCCATCATCACGAGAGCTTCCAACCCAGGCAGGTCAATTCACACAACCGTCAGACATCTGCCAATCTTTGAAGGCGTTTTGCTTCTCATCCATCTCATTCTTCAGAGCTGAAGGAGCTTCTTGGATGAGAAGCAAAACGTCTTCAAAGAAAAACCAGACAGCCTAGCGGCCTCTTGAAAAAAGCACCCTTGGGACAACCGTGACCTGGATGACGGAGAATCTCCATAGACATCTAAGACTGACTTCCTCAGAAGTAGTGTTACTCAAGGGTCAGCAGCAGCACAACAGAGATGAAATCACCTGCAATTCCATCCTGCTTGGTCCAACCACAGCCTTTATCTCCCCCAAGCCCCAAAGGCTCTTCCTGTACTTCCCTGGGGTGGTTATGTGTAATTAAGATAACCTTTATTAAGATTAAGATAACCTTTATTGTCATTGTTTCCTGTGGGCACACTGGCAATTAAAAATGAAATTCTGCTGCCTGTTCTCAAAAGCGTATACATACATAACACACATATAGACACACTATATACATATGTACATACCTACACCCTTACATATACATACAGTATAAATATTAGTCATCGTCCATCTTGAATACGTAGCGGAAAGAGGAAGCTTGAGAATTCACAAGGTTGATACTGCATGGAACAAAACTGTGACCAAAACCGGATGTTCTGCTTCGGATACCATGATGCCCGCTCCCTCCCAGAAGGTAACAAGGAAAACAGGTGGTGAAGAGGATTGTGTAGAGCCCCAGACAATGCTGTGGACCCTGCTCAAGCATCGCATAAGCATATCCATGTCCTGGATAGAAGGGAGTGAACTGCCTATAATATTTTTTGCCGTCCTCACCACTCTCTGCACCGCCTTCCTGTCCAAAGTGATAATGCTTCCAAACCAGATCATAGTGCAATAGGTCAATGTGTGTGCAGCGGCAGCAAAAAAGCTAATGCAATCCTAAATTGCATTAACAGAGGGATACAATCAAGATCAAGTGAGGTATTAATACCATTCTATTACTTTGTAAGAGCACACCTACAATACCGCATCCAGTTTTGTTCACCACACTGTAAAAAAGACGTTGAGACTCTAGAAAGAGTGCAGAGAAGAGCAACCAGGATGATGAGGGGACTGGAGGCTGAAACATACATGAACTGGGAACTGGGCATGGCTTGTCTAGTGAAGAAAAGGACCAGGGGAGACATGATAGCGGTCTTCCAATATTTGAGGGGCTGCCACAGAGAGGAGGGGGATCAAGCTATTTTCCAAAGCACCTGAAGGCCAGACAAGGAATAATGGATGGAAACTGATCAAGGAAAGATTCAACCTGGAAATAAGGAGAAATTTTCTGACAGTGAGAACTATCAACCCATGGAACAGAAGTTGCCTTCAAGAGGTTGTGGAAGCTTCATCACTGGAAGCTTTCAAGAAGAGACTTGACTGCTATCTATCAGAAATGATATAGGGTCTTCTGCTTTGTGGGGGTGGTGGTTTGGGCTAGTATGAGCTACTAAGTCCCTTCCAACTTTGTGAATCTGTATGCCAGGATGCTCTCTATCATCCCTTTATAGAAAGAGTTAAGGACAGGAGAAGGAAGATGTACTTTTCTTATACAATGCAGAAAATGCAGGCAACTGTCTCGCTTAGCAACAGAAATATTGGGCTCAACTATCAAGGACTACCTGTACATATTTTCTAGATCCATTTTTGTGATTTGCTGTTTGTCCAGATTTGGGCAGATGGCAAATCTCACACAGCATCTGTAAGCATCAAGTCCATTACAAGTTACGATTCTGCCTCTATTTTCAGTTCCAGGGACAGCTTACCATATGCTCTTTTGTTCTTATATCATTTGGGTCAAAGCTCTGCCGGAGCAAATTCTTCCTTCCACGTCTCTTATCTCTCTTTTCCCTTGAACTCATGAAGTAAAAATTGTTCGGCTGGCAGAAAGGATGTAATTGGAGGGTAATGTGAGTGGAAGCAATGCTTCTTTCCAGCTTCCTTCATTCATTGTGTGGTCAATTTAATTCTGATAAACTACTCTTAACGTAATAGGTCAGCAAAAACTTTTAATGGCATGGTTAGAAGTCAACCTCTGGCCCAATCTACACATGTGAACCTCTTGACGTTTTATGTGAAAAATGCCAGATGGGATGTGAAACATAAAACATGAGGCAGTCATTATGAGAGAGGCTAATCATCAGCTATAATTTAATACACTTAGTGGCAGCCATTCATTTAGAGATGTTCTAAGTGGTTGCAACAACTAAATTAGGCCATTCTTTTTCTTGTCATGCAGGGTCAGGGATCATTTGCATCAGCTTCCTGGCCATTTCTAAAGAGCATCTCCTCTTCAAAATGTTGCATCATGATGGCCTAGAGGAGGGAGAACGAAAGGAGGAGGAGAGAAGCGGGGGGGGGGGGGGGGGGAAAGGGGTGAATGGGGCACGGCACTAAAGGCAATATGTAGGCATATGGTGATAATTAGGACTGGCGTTTCCACTGTAAGTCATTGTATTTGCAAGTTAAGCTGGACCCAATTTTACAACCATTTTTTACAGTGGTCATTAAGCAATCCCCCATAGTTGTGAATCGTGAGGTTGTTAAGCAAATCCAGCTTCCCTAAGACATATTTTCTGCTGGAAAAAGGGTAGCAAATGTGACAACAGGATATCGCAATGTCATAAATGTAAGCCAGCTGCCAAGCATCTGAATGGTGCTATGGTTGTAAGGGTGACAGAGGTCATAAGTTGAAGCCTACATTTATATGGCAAATAACATCCTTCACTTAAAGTAGCTTGGGGTCCATCTGGAGTGAAAAGCAATCCTTGGGTGTGTGTACTTTGAAAGCTAAAATCCTTGTCTGATGAACTTTGGTTACCCTGGACATGTGAATTTTGAAAGTGTGCCACCGTCAGGTCCAAGTCCAGAGATAATGCTATAGTCTTCTAATCTCCTAGATATATCCTGAGAGATCCTAGGATGTGGCTACCTATATTTTTTGGGGGGCAATCACCAGGAGATGGCACATTCCAATCCCACCTTAGGCGTCAAAGCTGGCTGGATGACTTTGGGGCAAACACTCTTGTCTCAGCCCATCTCATCTCACAGGGTTGTGGTTGTGGGGGAAAGAGGAGGAAGGTGTGCTGGATGTTTGCCAGCTTGAGTTATTTATAAAAATAATAAAGATAACACAAGGCGATTATCTAAATACCTTGACTTATGAACCACAATTGAGCCCACAAATTCTGTTACCAAGTGAGCTTTACGAACTTTTTTTGCTGAAGTTGTTAAGTGAACCACTATAGTAGTTAAGTTAGTAATACGGTTGCTTGTCCGAAGGTCCCAAAAGGGGATCACATGACCCCAGGACGCTGCAATTGTCATATAAGTTAGTTGCCAAGCATTTGAATTTTGATCACGTGACTCTGGGCATGATGCAATGGTTGTTAAGTGTGAAAAAACGACCGACAAGTCACTTTTTTCAGTTGTAACTTCGAACGATCACTAAGTCGAGGACTACCTGAGCCTGAATATCTACCGCACAGAAGACAGAGGGCACAATTATTCAGACGTGTCCCAGGAGCTCAGATAAGGAACAAGGCAAGGAAAGAGATTGTGGTTGTACATGTTTTAACAATGGAACAGGTCATTTTGGTAGATGGTGCAGTTTCCTTCTCTGGAAGGGTTTAAAAAGTTGGTTGGTTGGTCATGTGGTCAGCACGGTTCCCAGCAGTGGGTGGGGGATGGATTGGATGATCTTCAAGATCCCTTCCCTCTGGTTCGGTTAAAGAGTTCACAGGACCTGGAAGCCCAATCTTGTGCTAATCCTAACTGTCGTGTCCGTCGAGAAAGGAAGCTCGGAGTCAGTGACTGAGTTTCAGCTCTTTATTGGCTCCGGATACAGCTTAAGCTTGAAGGGGAAAACTGCGGCTTTTTATTTCCGAGCCGCGGCGGCCGCGGCCAATGACACCGCTTCGAATCTCCCGCGATTAGTTTCCACCAATCGCGGGGGATTCGCAACGGGCCAATCAGTGCGGCTCGCTCGACCAATCCGGTCGCCACGCGCTTTAACCAATCGCGATGCGGGGCTACGAGTATGTAAATTGACTTGTACAGAACACTAACCTCAAAAGAACAGACTCTGGCTGCTTTTCTAGACACCTTGGCTACGAGAGAGGGTGGCCTACTTAGAATAAAATCTAACAGCCAAAGCTTTTCCTGTCACTTCGATTTCAGGCCAGAAACATTGTTCTGCTAATTACCTGCCACAAACACACACACACACCCAACAGAACCATTAAGGAAAGTTGGCAGTGCATTATTGCCAGTTCCCCCACCCCTCCCTGCTATCCTGAATATCTTTCTCCTCTTGGATTCTGCTGTTGTTTTTAATGTGTTGCCTTCATAGGGCAATAAATATTCCATCTTACATCAGCCCAACTTAAGTCGATAGTCCACTAATGTTCCCTGAAGGCGTGTGAGAGCTTAGCTTTGGTTTTTTTATGGCTAAGCAGGTTGTTCTGCTTTTCCATGAAAACAACTCAATCAGAACAATCTAATTTGTCCGGAGACATAAGGAACTTTGGAACAATGCAATGATCCGAATATATACAGAATATGCAATTACTAAAACAGTTTCAAGAAAAATGTTGGAGGCTGGGGGTTGTGCCATAGTTTCAAACACTGCAGTAAGCCAAACTGTGGGGAAATATGGGGCGTTAGCATGTTTTATAGGTATAAGATAAGATAGATCATCTTCTTTTAACAACCCCATGAGCCCTTGCAGGGCGGAGTCCAGGCAACTGAATGGAGCTAGCAGAGTGTTTACTGGCCAGATGCCCTTCCTGTCACCAATGTGGAGTTTTGTTCAGCAGATATATTCTCATTGTGTCAGAGAGGTTTATAAGATAAGATAAATAAGATAACTTCATTGTCATATTTTTTTTAGTGTGAACAAACCGGCCCACATTAAAAATGAAAATGTGTTTTCAGAAAATCTATTTTTTAGAAAGTGTATACCCATATGCATAACACCCATATACACATGCTATATACATACATAAATATATACCCGCACCATACATATATGTATGTATATATACATACACACACACACACACACATATATATATATACACATATACATACATACATACACATTTATATTATAAATATAACAATTATAAATTATAATCTTTATAATTCATATTACGATTATAAATGATAAGGTGTAACCTAGTAGTTATACAAATCTAGAAACTAATTTATACAGTGAACCATAGTTAAACCAGAAGGCTGAGAGATCTTTATACAGCACTGTGTAGAACTAAATGCCAGGTTTTGTGCATTCCTGGCTTGTAAGGTTTCTAGATGACAAATCATAGTTTGTGCAGAATAAACCACATGTATGGAGTAAACCAAACTTCAATTCAATACCATCAAAATTGGACTCAAATTTACCAACTGAAAAGAAAGATATATTATAAGTGCGAGTGACATTTTTAACCCAGGTAGTCCCTGGGTTAAAAATGTCACTCATACTTATAAATGTGCTGCCTCTTACTAAAATCAGCTTCCTTAAGCTGATGAGCTGGAGTCACACCATATTCTCATGAACTGCTGAAGCCGTGGACTTCTAACATACAGCTTGTTTTCAGAGGTTCATAAGAACATTGTGCAGCTTTGGCAATTCGAACACCATCTGCCACTTTTAATAATGGGAAATCATAAATAAAAATTCCAACTTACATACAAAATTAGTTAAAGAGAGGAACACTACTCGTTCTTAGCCTGGGATAGACACACACACACACACACACACACACCGTAAAGGTTGTCTGATGTTACAGACTGCATTTAATGAAGGTATACAAGGAAGTCGTCAACTTACGACCACAATTGAGTCCAAAATTTCTGTTGCTAAGTGATACATTTGTTAAGTGAGTTTTGCTCCATTTTACGACCTTCCTTGCCATAGTTGTTAAGTGAATCACTGCACATGTTAACTTAGTAACACCACTGTTAAGTGAATCTGGCTTCCCAGCTGATTTTCCTGGTCAGAAGGTCACAAAAGGGGATCACAGGATCCCACCCGGGACACTGCAACCGTCATAAATATGAGTCAGTTGCCAAGTACCTGAATTTCGCTCAGATGACTATGGAGATGCTGCAATAATTGTAAGTGTGAAAACAGCCATAAGTGGTTTTTTCCCCCAGTGCCATTGTAACTTCCAATGTCACTAAATAAACTGGAATACAGGTAGCCCTTGCTTGCCAACTGCTCCTTCAGTGACTCTTCCAAGTTGGGATGGTGATGAAAAAGGACGACTGGTCCTTACTGGTGCAGCCACTGCCATATCCCCACGACTGCAGTTCAGTTGCTTGGCAACCAGTGCACACTTACGACAGTTGCAGAATCCCGCGGTCTTGTCATTCCCAAACTTCGCAGCCAGCTTCTGATCAGCGAAATAAATGGGGAAGGTGGCAGGAAGTCGTAACTTGCACACTCCCAGGATGTTGTGCTTAACTGCCCAAAGTGGTTCGCTTAACAACCACAGCCGGCACGGATGATGCAAGTTGGGTATGCCCACCATGAGTTTTCACATTAGGAGCACACTGCTTAGCAACGCAGCTGTCGGTCCCAAATGCAGTTGGTAAGTAACAGCAACCTGTATACGTTAGAAAGTATAAACTGATGTCATTGGGATTATTGTGCACATGAAGCTAAGAATCCCCAGATTGATCGCCATTGCATATTATAGCACCTAGACTTATAGACAGCTTCATGGTGCTTTCCAGCCCTCTCTAAGTGGTTTACAGAGTCAGCATGTTGCCCCCAACAGTCTGTGTCCTCATTTTACCAACCTCGGAAGGATGGAAGGCTGAGTCAACCTTGAGCCAGTCAGAATTGAACTGCTGGCAGTGGGCAGTTAGCCTGCAATACTGCATTTTAACCACTGGGAGGGTGGGGGGGGGGGGGGGGGGGGGGGAGGGAGGAAGATAGCAATAGCACTTACTTATCTACCGCTTCACAGTGCTTTTACAGCCCTCTCTAAGCAGTTTTACAGACTCAGCATATTGCCCCCAACAATCTGGGACCTCATTTTACCGACCTTGGAAAGACCGGAAGGCTGAGTTTATGCATGGCTAATAGAAGAACCAGTAATGGATTTGGGGGAAAAAATATTCTGAATGAATGCAATCCAGTTGCCTAGATGCCTACTAGATGGGTAAAAGCAAGATTAGAGACCAAGGAAATGTTCCCTGTTTTTTTTGAAAGACCCAAGAGATCTATTTGAAAAAGGATTGTTTTAAACATGCAATTTAAATGTAGTTTCAACATAGGACAAAAGAGTAAATATAAATCAAAAAGCAAGATGGATGGTGATTACTCATGATAAAAGATTGAAACTAGAGCAAGTAGAAACATCTGGTGACGGGAATGGACAGAAGAATTTTAAGATGTGCAAATATTGGCACAAAGATAATGTGTGACCTATTGGGAAGAACGAATGTTTGTTGAAACAAACATACGGGCTGGTCAAGCAGGTCTCTGTTTGGGCATCAGTGGAGTAAGAGTTGAGGACAGTTGCATCATATAGGAGTAGATGACATGTCCTTGAGGTCATAGCACTTTCATAGAGAAACCCTCAGTTCCTCTCTTCATATATCTTGCTCCCCATCACCTGCCAACTGCTTCATTAGGGAGTATGCAGTCATTTAAAAGAAGGTGGCAGTTTAGGTTTGGGATCCCTTGCCAGAGGCAAGTTATGATGAAAGAGGGGAAAACCATCATCATCATTCAGATTTAATTTAAGAAAAGCATTCACTATTATCTCCTAAAGAATACCTTGGCACCAGGCAGAGCAAATAGGGTAAACTGGCTGCAAAGGAGAAACAAGGTTTTCATAAAACTGGTTTTATATGTGCTCAGCTATATCATCAAAATTCTGAACTTCTCTGCAGGACTCAAGATTAAATGCTAGAACATTTATGTACATATTTTCTTTTTGCTGATAAATATTTAAACAGAAGATAGGTTGTAACATATTTATACTATTTAAGAAAAGTGCATCATGCCCATGTAATTTCCTTTGTAGCAAGATGGAAATGTCTGTCACTGGCTTCTTCTGGTATTTTTCTTTTAAATTCTCAATCTAGCCTCAGAAATTCCTGGAGATTTTCACCCAAGTAATAATCAACCCACTCCTGCTTAGCTTTTGAGCCCAAACAAGGTCAGTCACCCAATCAAATAGATTTAAATCAGTAAATTATGACCCATCCCCAATGATAAAAGTCTATGTATGACGTCTCTCATGAATAAAACTTATTTCACTCAGATTAGGGCAAGAAGCAAAAACATCCATGTAAAAAAAACCAAACTTTCTTGATGTAGAGGCTGTCTGTTGGTCTTTTTTCCACTTTACTATCCCAAAGAAACCCCTACATTTTGAAAAGCTAAATATCTAAAACAATGAATAAATATGTTAGCTTCACTGATATATACAGGTAGTCCTTGACTTACAACAGTTCACTTAGTGACCAAGTTACAACAGCACTGAAAAAGTGACTTATGAACCGTTTTTCACACTTATGACGATGGCAGCATCCCCATGGCATGTGATTTACATTCAGATGCTTGACAACTGACTCACAGTTATGACGGTTGCAGTGCCCGTGTTTTGCAACCTTCTGACGAGCAAAGTCAAGGGGGAAGCCAGATTCACTTAACAACCTTGTTACTAACTTAACAACTGCAGTGATTCACTTAATAAACATGGCAAGAAAAGTCATAAAACGGGGCAAAACTCCCGTTAGCAAATTTCTCACTTAGCGCAACATAAATTTTGGGCTCAATTGTGGTAGTAAGATGAGGACTACCTGGACTTCCAAAGAAATTCCTAATAATGCCGATGTACTTCTACATTCTACAGACTAAAAACTGCCAGGATAAAATCCACTGCAGGCGTAGCCATATCTCAAAACTTGTTCCGGGATTGAGTCTCCACTCTGCCTTGACGTGGCTCCCTCAGCCAAAACAGGGGCTTGGGTAACACGGCTATTTTTGGCAAGCACAATCAAGGAGTCACCAATCCACAGTCTGAATAGTTCTTGCTTGGTGTGTTATGTGAAATGGAATAGTTGTGGCTTATTTTATTTAGCGAACTATTGCTTGACAGCTGAATTTGTCTAGCAAATAAACTACTTTGTGTACCTAATTTCTAACCGATAGCAGCTTTCAAGCAAGTCTTTATTGGTTTTTCTTGATAATATTGGAGACCGATTCAGGAAGACAAAACACAACCCTTCCCTTCATCTGTGGCCTCTCCTGATGCTAAAAACTGTTCTCCTGAATGCTCAAACGGAACACTGAATTTTTACTACTGATTGCTACTCAGATAAGTATCACTTATCTATAATGTATGCATTTGAGACTACTTATTTCTACCAAAAATTAGATTTACATTCCCAAAATGTTCTCTTGTATCGTAAGAGCTTTTTTATTGCTGCTTCCTGCCAGCTGCAGCTGCTCTTGATCGCAAAAGCTCTTATCTTGGCTTCCCTTGATGCTATCTTGTTCTGAAGAATCTCAATTACTAATAATACATTAAAAGAGACTTATTATATGGAAATATTGCAGCCTGCACAGCCTGCGTCACGATAAATATTCAGTCAAATGACTGTTGTATCCATTCCATTATTTAATGCTTTTTAATTAGGTAAAAAAATATCCCATTGCTCTCATCTGGCAAGACAGAGTTAAGCAACAAGGCATGAGTCTGGATCAAACAATCCATGGTCATCTTTTGTTGAACATTGTTTGTTGAATAATCAATAAACAAGGTTAATAAATGGTTCATATATGTAACAGGATATAAATCATGACTTGCAGGCCACAAAGCTGGATTCATACAACCTAGCCCAGTGATAATTACTCACTATTTGGATGACCTAATAGGATTCAGGAAACCTTGGAGAGATTACTTGGAGTATTGAGGCTATTTCCCCCCCACCCCCCAATTTATCTTTTATTTATTTATTGAGGGGTTAATAGGGAAATGTAGCAGTTTGCCTTCCAGAAACCTCCTTCATTTCATTCATATTTAAAAAAAAAATAAGGGGGAGAAAGTCTTATTTGGAAAATGTGGGTCTTTTGTCATCTAAATTTGGCAGTGTATATTAAAATATTATAGCCACACATGGTTTGCAGCTTTCCAGGGATCCCAACTTTCTGCTACGACTTATAGCGATTTGTTTGGTTTTGGCTTAAGGTGTTACGCGAAACCAACCATGTGGAGCAAAGTCCAAAATACGTAGGAGCAAATGGAATCCTTTGCCCACTTCACAAGTGCCGGTATATGTCCCTGCAATTCATAGGCTCTAGATAAAAAGATGCTTGATTTTGGCATTGTTCCTCTTAATGCTTCCAAGTAAAGCTTGATGCAAACTTCAACCGTTGAATGGTCAGCTGGGTTGGGCTGCATTCTGAAGTCTAAAATATTCTTAGCTCTATTTAAGAGCCGTGGTGGCACATTGGATAGAATGCTGTATTGCAGGCTGACTCTGCCCACTGCCAGGAATTCGATCCTGACTGGATAAAGGTCAACTCAGCCTTCCGTCCTTCCGAGGTGGGTAAAATGAGGACCCAGATTGTTGGGAGCAATTTGCTGACTCTGTAAACCACTTAGAGGGGGCTGGAAAGCACTGCGAAACAGTATATAAGTCTAAGGGCTATTGCTATTCCTGATCAAATCCTGTGTTCCTTTGCAGTTCCATTTGTCATTTTTGTGCTGATTTTCATACCTTTACTGTCTCTCACTAAATTTTATTTCAAACTCATATAGGATGTCAGAGACGTTCCAAATTCATTCTTGCTTTCTGTTTAATAGACACCCAAGGGAATATCTGTGACTACAACAAGTTCTGTGAAGGTTTATCCAGTAATCAGATGATGCTGGTAGCTTGCATGTCAATAGTTATCATTGTGTTCAGTTCCAAAAATAGAAAAAAAGGGCTAATATTGACAAGTTCTCTCAATCGCTAGCCTTGGAGTTCTCCCTCTATTTTCCCATAACCAAGAGACTCCGTGCCAGTGGCATGCATGGAAAACAGAAATCAAAATATATTGATAGTGGGACTTGTTCTACCCAGTATTTTGATATTCAGTGTGTAATGTCCTCCCAGCCATCAAACGACATACAGAGAGATTAGACCATTCAATTAATTGTGGTTAGTCAACACATTCTATAAATCTAGTCAATTTGGTTAGTTAGTTATGGGTGACGTGATAGCTGTGTCCCAATATCTAGAAGGCTGCCACAAAGAAAAGGGGGTTAACCTATTCTCCAAAGCACCTCAAGGCAGAACAAGAAGCAATGGATGAACACTAACTATGGAGGACCAACCTAGAATTAAGAAATTTCCTGACAGAGCAATTAATCAGTGGAAGTTGTAGGTGCTCGAACACTGGAGGCTTTCAAGAAGAGATTAGGTGGCTATTTGTATGGAATGGTATAGTGTAGTGTCATCTTCTTGATCAGAAGACTAGAAGACCTGCAAGGTCCCTTCCAACTCTCTGTAGTCTATTATTTACTTTGTTTTAGTTCAGAAAACTGGTCTGAATCAACCATTATTAAGTGCATCATAAACACAGCCAGAATAATCCATACTGCTGGAATTAACTGAGCTGAAATCAAAAGGCTGAAGTGCTCAAACAACTCACGAAGATTTGTTTTATCATACCAGTTCATGGTATTAATTATGGCTATGGAAAACTCCACAGTTAGCTAAATTCACAATGTACTAAGTCATAAGCTATGTTAAGCTATGTTGTAAGGGTTGTACTGATACACCACCAGAACCAAGCCATATCATGGCCAGCAGTTGACTCCTGCTTTCTAGGAGGACAGGTTCATATATATCAAATTTAAATACTGCCCATCTCATTGTCCAAAATGATTTTGGGCAGTTTATTAATATAACACTGAAGGGAGGCAACTAAAGGTATGATGGTTTGTTTTATCTGCTATTTATTATTTTATTTATCGTATGGCACATTCATACCACATCTTATATCCGCTGACCATCACGAAAAGTGCTAGAGCTAAAGTTGGCTGTTCAGAGAAATACCATTTTAAACTTTGATTCCCAAATGAATAGGACTGCCTTTCTCACAATATTTGCTCTACAAAGGCAATACTGGTAGGAAACATCCCTTTTTTATTTCGGAGAATTGTGTGTTTGCTTACCTGACTCATTTCCAGCTTTGAGGCCAGTTTAGCAATTTTCTAGATGGTCGAGTTTTCCACAGGTCATTCTGATCCTATACATATGATCGATAAATCCAGTGTCTTGTTATTGTTTACTAGAAACAAAAAAAATGAAGTCTTAGTCCATAAAATGGGTGTTTTGTAGGGTGTACCTTTATATTCATTAACATAAGTTTTACCTCTATGTTCAAGAACACGTTTTTGTTGGTTCTGATTTCTGGAAAAAGCCAATTTAATGGCTGTAACATGAAGATTGATTTGAAAACATCCATCCTAAAAATCATTACATGCTTCTGCCCATATTAAAAATTCCTCTACAGCTGCACACTCATCTATTAAAAAATCACATATTCATAAACTACTATGCATATTCTGAAAGGCCTACTTTGACCTTGAATATTTTTTCGTTAAGAAAAAAGGGCTGTTATCCTAAATAGGCATATGCTACATTGAAACACTATAATTACTTTGAGGGGTCCTTGCAGCTCTCTTGAACTTCGTGATTCTTTTGCAGATGTTCATTGCTCAAGCTAGGTAACAGCATCAAGATCAGGTGAAGTATTACCACACCTAGAATGCTGCAACCAGTTTCGGTCACATTACAAAAATGATGTTGAGCCTTTGGAAAAAGTGCAAAGAGCAACTAAGACGATTAAAGGCTTGGAGGCTAAAACATATGAAGATCATTTCTAGGAATTGGGTATGGCTAGCTAGAGAAAAGAAGTAGTAGAGGGTGACATGATAGCAATCTTTCAATATTTGAGGGGCTGCCACAAAGAAGGGGTCGACTTATTTTCCAAAGCACAAGAAACAATGGATGGAAACTAATCAAGGAAAGAAGCAACCTAGAACTAAAGGAGAAACTTCCTAACAGTGAGAACAACTTATCTTCAGAAGTTGTGCGTGCTCCAGCACTGGAGATTTTTGAGACTGGATAACCACTTGTCTGAAATGTAGGTGTGCTGCTACAGCAAGCGGTTGGACTCACAGGGGTCTCCAACCTTGGCAACTTTTAAGACTTGTGGACTTCAACTCCCAGAGTTGAAGTCCACAAGTCTTAAAGTTGCCAAGGTTGGAGACCCCTGGACTAGAAGACCTCCAAGGTCCCTTCCGACTCTATTTTGGAATAATTAGGTAATATCAGATGATGTTACCTAATTTGGTAATGAAACATCTGCAAGAAAACCACCAAGCTCAGAGAGCAACAAGGATCCCTCATTTCAACTGAGAGTTATCTTAGTATCTCTGGGCTGAAATGAAGGGGGCTTGCTGTTCTCTGAGCTTGGTTGTTTTCTTCATTGTTAGTTATTTTGCAAGCTGCTCGGAGTTAATATGGCTGCCATATACATTTATTAAATACAGGTAGTCCTTGACTTACAACTGTTCATTTGGTGACCTTTCAAAGTGACAATGGCATTGAAAAAGTGACTTATGACCGTTTTTCACACTTACCTTTGCAGCACCCCCATGGTCATGTGATTTACATACAGATGCTTGACAACTGATTTATACTCATGATGGTTGCCGTGTTCCAGGGTCATGGGATGATTTTCCCCTTCTGACAAACAAAGTGAAGGGAAAAGCAAGATTTGCTTAACAGCCATGTGACTAATTTAACAACTGCAGCGATTCACTTAACAAAGGTGGCAAGAAGAGTCTTAAAACTGGGTGAAACTTAATAATTTTCTCACTTCGCAACATCACTACCTGTAAACTTGACTTGTTCCACAGGGAAGAAGTCCCTAAGGACACAGGCACCTGAATATTTTTGATACCTTCCCAGAGCTGATCCCCATTCTCATTGCTGGGCGGGTGTTTACACAACACACCAACACAAGGGAACTTGTGGCTTTGCAGGACACACAGAACCTAAACCGGTGATGACAGGGGCTCCCATTGCCCACGTTCCAAGGAAACGTGTCCTGTAGATGGGTCACGTTCAGACGACCCAGTGACCCCCCCTCCCAACCCCTGAATCAGCCAAGCGTCCTTTCCATGGGTCTGTTGTGGGCAGGAGTTGACCCACCTGGTCAACCCCCCAACATGATCCAGGGCTCCCCAAGGCATCACCACCTAGCTCGGATAAGCCAAGGTCCAGTGGATCCTCCCCGCCCCCCCAACAAAGCCTACATACACAGCCTTCACATACACTTTTAGAGCTTTCACACAGACACACAAACACAGAGCCTTCACGCACACAGCCTTCACACACACTCAGACTGGGCCTACACAGTGCCTTCATACATACACAAGCACAGAGCCTTCACACACAGAACCTTCACATACTCATGCACAGCCTTCACACACACTCACAGGGCCTATACAGAGCCTTCACACACAGCCTTCACATACACACACAC